ATACCAAAAGAATAAACATCAGATGCTTTGGTATATTCTCCTCCACTTAATACTTCAGGAGCTATATAGGGCAACACACCAAAAATTTGTCTTTTTTCGGAATTTTTCGTATTTTGTTCTATTAACTTACTTAGGCCAAAATCTGAAATATACAAATATGGGTCTTCAAAATTATATGATAAAATATTTCCGGGATGAAAATCGTGGTGAATTATTTCCAATTTATGAATATTTTCAAAATCATGTGCCAATTCTTTTAAATAACCTAATTTCATACTCCAATTAATATTATTAAAATTGTTTTTCAAATAATCTCTAAGATTTCCACCAGGTAAATATACTAAAACCATAATATATTTGTACGTTTCTGGATCTTGTGTAATTCCAAAAAATCGGAGTGAAGCACCTTCTTTCAATGTTTTTAAGTGGATTTCTATCTATATTTTTTTTTTTTAAATTTATGACTAATGTTAGAATAACATACAATTTAAAAAACGAGTCTATACATTTGTTATTAGCAAGTATTTTACCTCATTTAGGAATTCTTCATTTAAACTTTTAAAACTATTATCAAGCTTTTTTAAAGCTACATCTTGTTGACTCGATCTTATCCATTGTCGTAAATCAACATCCCATTTTCGAATTTGCCCATCAATCCACTTAGCCTTAAATATCGTTCCAAATCCACCCTTTGCTATTTCTTTAATATCCTTGAATCTATCATAAGGTATCCATTCTGGTACTTTCCAATAATTATCTGCATTTAGTTGAGCTTCTTGAATAAATTTATCTATCGTTTTATTTCCACTTGTCCATTTATCAAAATCATTTTGAAAATGTCTCGAGTTACACGGTTTGCACCACTTATCCCAAATGTCAGTATATTCATGATTGCATTCTGGGCAGATTTCATGAAATGACATTTTCTTGTTCATTTATTGCGTACAAAGTAAAAATTTGGTAGTTAAAAAATAAATATATTTGAATAAATTTTATGCGATTTTATGTAAAAGGCAATTTCCTTGTGTTAAAATATATATATATATAATAAATAAATTTCATGCAATTTATGTAAACGGCAATTTTTTTAATCATTTAAAGCGTGCTCTCAAAGTAAAAATTTGCTTCGTAAAAAGAAAATATAATAAATGAATTTTATGCGATTTAAAGGCAATTTTTTTTGATCATTTATAGCGTGCGTGCAAGGTAAAAATTTGTTTCGTGAAAAGAAAAATATATAAAAAAAATTTATCTGAATTCACGTTTTGCTTTGAAATTTAAGCATGCGATTTTATAAAAAGGTTTGTAAAGTAAATTTTGGTTCGTTAAAAAATATATAAATTTTATCTGAATTCATGAAATTTAAGTATGAGATTTTATATAAATGTTAATTTAACTACAACTGTTAAAATACTAATTTAATTGGGATAACCAGAATAAAAAATGGCGTTTAAGACAGTTAAAAGATTTATATTTATACTACAATAATCTGCCTCGTTATAAGAAGAATTTAAAGAATTTAATTGGTTGATGAGATACATTTGATATCTCTGATTGAATAAATGTAGAATACAACATGGTGGTGGTTACAAATACGTATATTAAACGTTTAATTATTGAAAATTATTCATTCATCTTTAACTTTTTTCAGATATTAGTAATTATTATTTATAATTAATTTCTTTCTTTTTAACTTTTCTTGGACACCGATAGCAGTGGTGGATTATTATTAGTGATACGAATATTAATAAATAGCAATATCAATAGTATAATAAGTAATCATTTCACTTCTAATTATGGATTATTACTCTAATTTCACTTCTAATTATGGTGTTATTGCTCATTTCCTGCGTAGAGGTAATCTCCATTTTCGCTTTTTCTTGCCTCTTCTCCCAATTTCCAGTCAGCTGGGCCTAACGTGCCCAGCTGACCAGAATTTATTGGTTTGTTTCCCTGCAATGGGAAATAAGTGCGTTATCTTGTCTTATATGACATCATGATGGAAACTTTAGACTTATCATTGATTCAAATCACAAGTTTATTTTAAAATTTTCCACACTTCTCTTCCTTTTGTTTTTTCTTCCAAACCTTCTACAACTGTCGTTTCGTTAACAATTATTTTAAAAATAAATTTAAATTACCAAAAGGATTTTATACTTGTATGTTTGAACATCGAATAAAAAGAAGAAATAATACTTATTTATAATTTCGTTGTAGGCTTCTGAAATCGTTAATAACGATATTGTACAAAAAGATTATTTTAATGTAAGTACTTAATATTTTATAGTGATGCGCTTTCAATATAACGGCAATAAATAAATAAATATTTAATTTAGTCAAATTCTATTGATTTTTTTGAACATGTTACTAATGATCTTATTAAAGAAGCAATCTCCTACGGCTCTGTTAAAAACGCATTAAAATGTTAAATGAATATCGTTTTTCTATTAATTTAAACTATTCACTATTCTTGAGTTTACACAGCTTGAACTGGAATTAATTCAATTCTTTATGGCTCTTCGTCGTAAAGATAAGCAACCATATGCCTCAACTTCCACCTATAACTGTTATTGCGCAATTGCTCATTACTTGCGTGATAATTCATTAATGAGATTATCTGTATTAGCACAGTGACGACTTACGTTTAATAGTTCCGTCTATAAATTACATCAGGAAATTTAACAAACGAAAATCTCCGCAGTATTTTCGATACCTATGAAATTCTCCACGTGGTTTTTTATTTTTTTCAACTTCACGATTTACGAAGCGTAGAGAGATTTTCTACTAAGATGTTTCTAAGATAGAAGGAAAGATCATGTTCTTTACGAAATTTGCACGACTTTTCACGGACGTTTTTCTTTAAACCGTAATAACTCCGCGAAGATCGATGCTACCGGGATGAAGCACATATTATTTTATAGCCAAGAACAATTCCTTTCTTTCTATATTAGAAAAACTTTAGTATAAAATCTCTCTACGCTTCGAGCGAAGTCGAAAAAAAATAAAATCCGGAGATTTTCGCAGGTATCGTGGAGATTTTCTTTTATTAAAATTCCTGATATCATTAATATATTTTCTTGTAAATGTATCTGTCATTCGTAGTTGTAGGTTTTTAGTAAAAGTAATAACGTATCGGATGCGCATTATAGTAATCTACGAAAAGTTTAATTCTCTATAATGAAAATGCTTAATTTTTATAAAATTAACCATTAATATATATTAAATAAACTTAAGCTTGTATTGTACTTGTACCATATTCACTCATTATATGAACACACAAGTGGGGCGAATTTAATCGATGTCCTTGTTTTCGAAATAAAAAAATAATTTCGTTGATTTTTTTATTTACAGTGTGCAAAGCATTTTTCAAAATATAAATACTAATTTTCATTTTCAAAGAATTATCGCTTTATAAATTTTACTAAGTTTTTTTTATTTGCATGCCTAGATAATGATAATAAAAAATCTAATTTCCATCTATCTTTAGCCAAGGATGTGGAGCATCTTTTGTAAAGTTTTTAGATTTTTACTTACGAATTGATTCAATATCAACGGCTTAACTCCAGACATTCGAAAGTTACTCTCTAAAATTTAATCACTAATTATTCACTTAATTTAAACTAAATATGTCTGGATACTTTAAATAAAATGCTATATGCTCTCAGCTTTAATGTTACTAGTATCACTTTCATTAGTAATTAGTAAATAAAAATCTTTTATATGTAGAATCGTTTGATAATTATTTTCGAATTTTTTTATTTTTTAAATTTTTTAATAATTTCAGTCGTTTTAATTCACGCCTAAGTAAAAACAAAGTTTCATTAGATACCAGGAAAACTTTTTTTAATTAAAGTTGTAGATATTGTTTCTGGTTACAATTCCATATAAGATAGTTGGCATCTATCTTTAAATCCATCGATTAATGTATGGATAGCTGTTAAAGATTAAATTTATTATTTTTTGTCTATTTTATTTGAAGTCTAATTTCTTATAAATAGGTATTTGATTTTGACAAAAAATATTTCATATGATAGCCTCAGTGTAATAAAAAAAAGGTTGCAATTTAGATTACTCATTCTGGCACAATTAGGTTTTTAAATTTAGTATTTTTTAAAAAATTTTCAACTGTCCGGTGACTTTTGATCCACTGAACATTCAATTTCAATACAAAATATATCATATGATAGCCCTTGTTTAATAAAAAAAAAGTTTGTACAATTTAGATCACCAGTTATGCCACAATTGGAATTTTAAATTTAGTAATTTTTGATACCCCTGTACACCACATACCGAAAATAATGAACTATTAATTAAATTGTCTGGGACAAATTTCTGATCGCGGGCGTTTCTCTGTCCTCATGTGATAGTTATTTTTTTAGATTATTTTATTTTGTTGGATAATTTTAGATTATTGCTCCGGACTTACTTTTCCTAGTAATAATAACAACAAATAAATTAGCAATTATAAGTAAAGCGTGCACGCCTATTCTACTAAATGGAGCCGGTTATGTTCTGAGTGTGGATCGCAGCTTTTCTCATCGGAACCATAGAATTTTTGCTGCACTACCTTTTACCGACTATCGCAAAACTGAATTTTGTCTCGTTATACGAATTTTTGTTCTTTGTAAATCCTTTGATTATTGTAAATTTTCTTATGCCAAGGCTTGCTTTAGTAATTTACACCAACAAAAAAAATATGTAGCGAAATGTCCATTCCAAAGACGGGTTTGCGTAACTATTGTGGTGCTCACACAATTATACCTTACCTTGAACTACCTCCAATACAATTCTTAAACTCTTAAATAAAATGGTGGCACTAAGTGCACTAGTAATAGCATAATATTTACCTTGCTAAGTGCTGAATCTAACTATCATAATGTTCTACGCAATGCTCTGGACATTGGATTGTTTTTAATTAAAATGTGCAAAGATAAAAATTTAAAATTACACGTGATAATGCATTCAACCTATAAACAATGGAATTGCTACTGCTTAGGTAATGACTTTTGCATATAAACATGCATATTCGCAGGCAGAAAGGAAATGATCCTCAACAGACCAATCCAGACCAATTCTCTTCAGAACAGACCAAATAGTACCAACTTCCTTTCAAATAATACTTAACCTAAAATTAGCATACATTACGCAAAAATCTATAACTCTAACCGTACACAGACCGGCGAATCAAAAAAATTTGTTATTTTAATTTAATTTAATTAATCCAATTATGCTATGAACCACCATAATAGAAGGCATTCACTTGTTATTGTTGGGATTACTTTTAATGTTTTTTCCATAAATGAAAATAAAAGAACCGAACAAGAAATAAGATTTTATGAAATCATTCCATAATTAAAAACCTTATTGTTTCAAGTATTAAAAGAATGCATTTCTCATTTAAATTTATTTTTTACGTTATTTTTTTAATTGGTTCAATTTTATGCTATGACCCACCTGATAGAAGTTATCATAATAATGTAATAATCAATAATCAACTCTTAATCTTTGCTGGATGGAAAAATCAAAGCTCATCTCCAGTAGTAACAGATAAATTAACCTATTTGGATTTGTTAAAGCCATTTGAAATTACGAACTTATCGTGGACATTAGTTACCGATGGGAATCTTCCTATTTATACTTGGTCTTCAACTGCTATTGTTTTAAATAATTCTACAATATTTCAAATTGGTGGCTATATCGTGAATAAAGATACATCCGATTATGACTTTTCAAACCAAGTTTATAAATATGATTACCCTACTTCTAAATGGACTATACCATCGATTACTGGTGACAGTATTCCTCCCAGACAGCAAATGAAAGGAGTAATTGATAATTCAGGAATTATATACATTTTTGGTGGAGTTAATATCACTAATTTAACAGCCTCTACTGGAATAATATACAATGATATGAATACATTTGATACTTCGTCAATGACTTGGAGAAATCTAAGCATATCGGAAAACCTCCCTTTCGGAACTAGTGACTATTCAGCTAGTCTTTTACCAAATGGAATTATTGTTTATATTGGTGGACAAGAAAGTGTTACAGAAAATACACAAACTGGAAGCGGAAGCGAATTGCAAATTCATCAAAGCGGTGAAGACATTGCTAATTCAACTCTTGATACAGTGAAGAGGGACGTAATTATCCTCCCTCTTGTAAAAATGAAAAGTGTGAGTAATTTAAATGCGAATAATAAATTATTTAAGTCATTTTCATAAATATTAATATATTATTGTCAAATTAGATCAAACTTTTTGATACAAAGGAACATAAATGGTCATATATGGTATGTATTAAATATTAATTTATATAAAATAAATAATATTATAACTTATCAATTATATTTAATTTTAAGAATGCCACTGGTCCTGATATTGACTCAAGAGTGCAGTTTTCTTCTGTGTTAAGTAAGTACCAAATTGGTTATTATCTCTGAAGCGAAAAAATTATTTTTAATTTAAATCTTTTATATAGCGTCAGACGGGCTTATTATTGTATTTGGGGGTATCACAAATGATTATACTAGTGTTAGCCCAAACCTGGCTATTTTAGATACGAACAAATCTCCGTATGAATGGTCTATTCCAGATGTTCCTAAATTCAATTCTCCGCCATCAATTTATGGTCATTCTGCAGTTTTATATTTTGATTACATGATAATTACATTTGGTATGTAAACAAGATTCAATATTTACAATAATCAGTTTATATTATATTAATTTATTTATTGAATTTTGTAGGATATAACTTAGATGAAAAAACATATAATTCTCAAGTATGGCTTTATAATATTACAGGCATCAAATGGGTTCCAAATTTTATTCCTCTTGTTACTAGTACCACTGGTACTGGCACAACTCAACCAATTCCAACACAAGCCACAACTCAACCGAGTTCACCGCCGCGAGAAACAACTCAACCAGGTTCACCACAAAAAAATCCATTAAAAACTTTAGCAATTGGACTGGGGACAGGAATAAGTATAGTGATTGTGATTTTTGCTATGATTTTTATTTTTCGTAAAAAAGCAAAAAGTCAAGTTCTTAAAATACCTGGAAGCAATGATCCTTAGAATCGAAAAATCATTATTCATATATTAAAAAATGAATTATACTCTCAAGTTTTTAGCTTTTACATAGCATTTTCTATATTATGAATTTATTTCGATGATTTTATTGCCAAATTACCAATTCTGATTTTCACTACTGTTATTAAAAAAAAATTTTGATGCAAATCTGAAAAAAAGAATAATTGTTTATATTCGGAATTGTAATAAACAGAATAATGAATATTTACTTAAAAAGTTCATTTCACAAAGATAAATGCACCACATGCATACGTATTACTGTTAACCGGTTTTTTCATAAAAATTTTTGTATAAATCATTCTACTATTCATAAAAAATCATATAGATCCAATATTTCAAGCATTAAAAGATATATTTTCTATTTAAATCATTTAAATTTGTTTTTTTTTTTGATTAATTCAATTATTTGCTATCTCATCTCTACATGCCTTCATCTCCGGAGCTTCACTAATATCAGCTGAAAAAAATAAACATGGCAGATGATAGACACGAAGCGCCTGCTCCGCAGAAAAATACGGAATTAAAAATAAGCATTTCTCTTTAATCACTCATCCTCTCCTTTTTTTTGATCTAACAAATTTGGGTATTAATGTACATATTACCAAAGTAGACAGACGATCAATAATACCACCCATCGCTCGTTATCTTGCTCAGATTTAACATCTTCATCCGAACAATTATCTAAATCAAAATATTTTCATTAGATTTTAATAATTAGTAATTAATAAAAAATAAACAATATGAATACTACTATCACTATCAATTGGAGATACTCTATTAGATCTATCTAACTTTTTGAATAAATATAAAGCTAATAAAAACATTAAATACTTTTTCTTTCTTTAAAGGAGATCTCCTAAATGATTATCAATCTACAAAAGAATAAGACAAAGAAATACGTAGAACCAGATGATCATAAGGTAATTTTCAACATGAAGTAAATGTATTGGAAAATTCTTTCTCTAACATTTTAATTACTTTTTCATGTTTTCCTAGAAACATTTTTGATGATATAGAACACATCCAATCTGCAGAATTATTTTTATTTGTCTCGTCGTCAATTACAGATTTTTTTTTTAGGCATTAATTATGGTTCAAGTATTTTTAATAAATTTAATTATATAAACACATAAATATAAAGATTTCTATAAAAGAATAAAGAAAGGAGAATGAATGAAAGAATGAAATAAAATAAATGAGAATGTATAGTCACGTCACGATAATTTTATTACTATGTAATCGATATTTGGCGACCGAGATCAGAAAAATTAAGCGTAATAGGAAGTGTTAAAAGAAAAATTCAAGTTTAACATTTGATAAAGTGTGATAATAAAATAATTTATTAGGCCATCTAAAAATAATGAATAAACTAGAAATGTTCGAACATTCCGATTCATAATTAACTAAAGATAAAAAGGTTTCAGACGTAACTAATCAATGCCTTTTTCTCAATAAAAGGATCATGAATGTGCTTTAAAGCTTATTTATTACAGAAATTTTAAAACATCATTTCTAAATTTACAAAAAAAATAAAATAAATAAACCATGAATCGAAATCTTATACTCGCATTTATTTACTAGCTACTTTGTCGGTGGTCAATGCTTATGCTGCATCAACAGAATAAAAGAGAGATTAAGTGGGATCTTACTCATCTAACATTTCCTTTAGTTTGTGCAAAATATCACCTGATCTTCTCGCTCCTGGTCAACTAGATACTTTCACTGTTTCCGGGTTTTTAAAATCTCGGAGACAAGTCTCTTGCTACATTTATCAAAGATCCTAACAGCCTACTGTGTCTACCTTTTCAAGACCTATTTATCCCGGATCTAATTATAGTGAGATTAGTACTATGTTTCTGTCGTTGTTAAGATGTCATAGGCTGTGATCGGAATCTTCAGATCGGAATATTCTTATCCTATTGCTTCTTACCCATTGCTTCTTACCCATTTCTTACCCCAATGTTTTTTATCCTATTGCCCAATAAACTTAATGATTCTAATTCACAATTTATATTTGATTATATTTAATTCATTAACATAAAGTAGTTACAAAAAATTTAAATATTGACCTATTATAAACGAGGTTGTTAATTAACTTCATGTTTAAACGATTATAACATCATTCGATACTAAGAAATTATTAATGAATTTATTAATAAATTATCAATTAAAAACTAACCATAACCAGTACCTACGTTAATATAATTGTTGTTTTTTTATTATAAAAAATAAAACGCAATTGTAGAAATATAACTGTGTTCAAATATAATTATTGTCTGTAGATACACGAAAATCGCTACACTAATTATAAATTCTTAATTTTAATTTTTTTGCATTTAACTTGCCAATTTTTTTCCTATGAGAGATGTAAAATGCCCATTGAACGGCAGATTATTTTTAGCACTCACCAATACTTTTTGGATGCTAGAAAACATCCAGACCAGTTTCAAGGTATGTCATGATGCAAGCAAGTTGCTACAGTTCTGGGTATTGGAGAGGCTACAGTTACACGAGTAGTTGTTGATTATAACAAAATGATGAGTAGAATTTATTAGCACATAAAAAACTTGGCAGACATAAAGAAAACCCTGATTCTAATATTTGCAGAAGTTATACATTGTTAGTTTTGTCAGCAAACACTTCCAATTCCCCACTTTCAACACCTATATTATGACAAAAACTTGCAGTAAAAGATTTTATTCTTCTGCTTAGTATATTGCATAGTTTTGGATATTTTTATGTCCATGATGAGCATCGAAATATTTTACATGAATCGTCCGCAAAAGTAGCTTTCTGAAATTGTTATTTGAGAAAACGTTTTGAAAATTTGCAAGGTAAAAATAATGTGCCCAACAGACCTGAGATTTTTTTGGATGAATCATATTGCCACTTACATCATACTTCAAATTGCACATGGGTGGCATATCATGGAATTGTCTCTTTGCCTTACATCATACTTTAAATCGCACATGGGTGTCACATCATGGAATTGTCTCTTCGCCAGGGGCACGGACCTTTGATTATTATATTTGGAGCCATCGCTGTAAAGTGAATGGTAACAATAATAAAATTTATAGCGAAATTGTACCTATTTCTATCTTATTATAGGATTCATCAATTAAACCACCTTCTTCAAGAGGAAGAAAATGGAAAAATGCAGAAGATTGAGAAGAAATTCCCAAAATTATTCCCAATTCTAATATTGTAGCCAATCATAATAATTAACACAGGAATTTTATGGCTGAAATTTTGAAAACCTTTTAACAAGCTTTGTTTCAATGTTTGTAAGTGATATGGACCAGCAGATATTCACATGGATGGGCAAACGTCATGTTGATCATCAAACTCAAAAAAAAATGCATTAATCTTATGGTCAATGTCAAAGGATATAAATATTCCAGAAGGTTCCAATAAAGCAGAATTATATGAATTAATAAACCAAAATAAACCATTGCATGTAATCAAATAGCTGAAAGGCACAGCCATACCACTGTAAACTTCAGCCATTGAAGGAATTTGAGCAATTGTAAAAGGGGAAGTTGCCAGGACTGGTACTAATCCTAATCTTCTTTCTATTAGAGACCAAATATTGAATGTATTTAAAGTAAAGGTTAACTCAGAAACTATCATTAGTTTTTAGAGAAAATCACTCAACAAGGCAAAAGAATATAGAGATTTAGATAGTGATGTAATTTTGGTTAATAGTAATAATGAAAATTCTGATATTGAAGAAATTGATGAATAGTAAAATTTTTTTGTAAAAAAAAAATCTTAATAAAAAGCATATTAAAATAAATCTTAAATATAGATTGTAATAATATAAAGTTAAATGAGGACTCTTTCCACAGATCAATTACATCAAAATATTCAAGGAAAGGAAGTTCTTAGTAAAATAAATAAAAAAAACAAATAAAACAACAAAATAAATCAGGAACGAGTATAGAAAATGGGAGTGGATGTCCAAGATGGTCAACAGCAATTTATGGGACTAGACTTAAGGATTTATATACAACCAGAAGAACCCTAAAGTCAAAGGTAATGAGCAGTCTGCCACAAGAAACATTATTGCAAATACTTATGGACCAAAAGCTAGTACAACAGCAGGCACAATCAATTTGAACAAAGAAACAAAAACTACAGAGACAAATACAAATAACATGGAGTTATTGCCAGTAGAAGAAAATTTATTAATAAATCAAGATAGTATAGGTGAAAAAAATACAGATAATAATATGAAGGCAATTGATAATACAAAAAAAGATGAAAAATATAAAGGGAAAGAGATTATTACTGAAACAGAGAAAGAAAATAATGAAACAAATGAGCAAAATATTACAAACACAAAAACAGATGATAATGAATCAGTAAACTCAGAAGACAGTTTCTTAAGTGTACATGAGAAATGGAGAAAAAAATTAATTCATAAAGTATAAAGTATGGATTAAAACAAGAATTAATATTATTAAATCAAAACTGAAAAAAATTGGAAGATAAAAAACTATATATTGCAATATATCTGGAAAAAAGGAAGATATGGAAAAGGCATGTAAAATCAAAATTGAAAGAACACAATTAAATGATAGGTCAACTCTAACAAGAACAGCAATAAACCAAAATATAAAAACAAATAATGAAAAAGGAATTAAGTTCTGGGATATACCAATTGGCATGCAGGAACAAGAATTTAAAAGTATGATAAAAAATAAATTTGAAAATGTAACCTCATGCAGTACAAGTACAAGAGAATTGTGGTCATCTGCAATAGTACAATTTAAGAAAGAAGACACAGCTGAAAATCTATTAATGGAATGGTCACAAATTATTGGAGAAGAATTATGCAGCTTAACATTGTCCACATGTAATTTTACTGAACTTAAGGAAAGAGGTAAATACGCAGTAAAAATTATCAATTTATCACCTGATATTACATCACGGGAATTATATAATATAATAAGTCCTCTTGATGCCAAAACATGTTATTTTCCACGAAATTTATATGGCAAAAAGAAATGAATGGCCATAGCATCTTTTGAGAGTCAAGAAGGAAAAGACCAAGTTATAAATTTTGAATGAATTGCAGGAGAATATAGAGTCAAAATAGTAGATACAGTTTTGAAAAAGTGTCACAGATGTCATGCAGAAGATCTTGTAATCAGTTTTCCTGTGGCAAAAAAACAAAGGGAAATTAGTAAAAGAAAAGCAAGAGATTTTGAAAAATATTGGCAATTATATAAAAGACAAAGGTCACAACTATATAAATCTCTAATGGGAGGAATTAACATGAGAACAAGTTACTCTGATGCTGTTAAAAATAATATATATAGAAAAGCTAAAAATAATATAATGAAAAAGAATGATATAACAAATGAAAATATTATGAACAAATTATTAGAAATCCAACAATATATAAAAGAGATCAAGGATCAGGTGAAAGATATAGATGAAAACATGGGATTAGTAAAAACTTATTGTGCTTATGAAATATTAAATGATGAAGAAGCAGGAGAAATGGAAATCTGTGATGATGAAAATGAAGAAATCAATGAAAAAGAAAAATCAAAGACACAAATAACCAATAATAAAAAAGAGGGAAAAGAAATGGAGAAAACAATAAATTATATCTATGAAACAGTTAAAACTCTGTTAGAAGAAATAAAACATTGGCACGATTAAATGGAGTAGAATAATATATTGAAAAAAATAATGAACAAGGAGGGGACAAAACCCTTATTTAAGGAACATAATTTTAAAAAAAATATTATATTATGATGAACAATCATAAAAATATAAACATTAATAATAATATAATAGAAAACAAACAAAATACTAATATAATTAATAAAATTAATATTAAAAACAATAATAATAATCCTTTCTTAAATGGTAATAATCCTTTCTTAAATAATAATAATAATTTAGAAAATATTAAAAAAAAATCCAAAAAAAAATTTTAAAAATGAATAGAAAATTAAAAACATAAATAAAACTAAAATATAAATAATGGACTAATAAATAGTAACAATTATATATTAAATATGGATCAAAATAATGATTGTGTCATAATAAATAAGAATATGAATTGGAATGATTTAAAAACTTTAAAAATAGCTACTCAAAATATAAGAGGAATAAAAATATTACAAAACAAATAGATTGGTTGAAATTCTATGAAGATAAAGACTTGGATATAATTGAACTAACAGAAACCTGAGCAAAAGATGAAAATTGTAAATATATATTCAAAAATGATACAATAAAAGAAATACAAAAGAAAGATAAAATGCCAATGAATAAAAATATTTTGGGAAAATGGACAACAAATGGTTCAGGAGTCGGAATCATGATAAAAAAACATGGACAAAACATGTTTATAAGATAGATAAGTATGAAGACAATGATCTCTATAAAATTGTCATTCAAAAAAAAAATTACAAATAATAGTATATTATCCAACAAGTGCAAACCAAAAGATGCTAAGAACTCATGTAACAAAATGGATAATACAAGAGTTAAACAATTATATAGTTAAGGAAAGGTATTATGCAATAGTGATGGGAGATTTTAATGCCATATTTAATCCTAAAATTGATAGGTTTAATATCAACATTAATGCAAGAAATAGATCAGATAAACCTGAAAGTTAAATATTGAGATTTTTAGATTATAGCAGGTTACAGAAAATGAAAATATGCAGAACAAAACAACACTAAATTTTTCTTGGAGAAACAGTACCCAAGAAGTTGAAAGCAGAATAGATCAAATATGGGTATCAGATAACTTAGCAGATCTAATCTTTTGTGTAGATATTATACCATCAGATTTGGAAAGTCACAGTGACTATGCATATGCAATAGCAGAAATAGAAGACATTATTCTTAAATATACTAAATCCATAATATATTCAGATAAAATTCTAAATAAGATAGAATTTAACTTCAAGGGAACATCTGAAAAAAAATAGAAAAAATTCAAATCACAAATTAAATTAATTACAGAAGAAAATACCACCTTTGGAAATGACAATATCAAAGAAAAATGGATTTTTTTCTGAAATGTCATAATTGGAAAAGCAAATGAAATAATTCCAAAAAAAAAAAACTTATATTTGGAAAGTATGAAGAATCAAAAGCATTACATAATTACTTCATCATATATAGAAAACTGATATCTATAAGAAAGATTCATGAGTGGGGCAGACAGTGGTATACTAACAGAAAACAAAGAGCATATTGGAAGAAAAAATAGTTAAAAAAAATAAAAAAACATTAGGGAAGAGTATAATATAGAAATTGAAGTTCCATCATGGAAAGAAACAATAGAAGAGACTAAAAATTGGTTGAAAGAAGTCAAAAGAATGCACCATACTCTACACAAAGTATTTAATGAAGAAATAAAAAAATACAAATTATAAAAAAATTAAAGAACAGATAATCAAAAGAAATAAAAACTTCCATGACAACAAAAAAAATAGTTATTCAAGGTCTCCTACATAAAGAAAGACCTAGAATATTAACAGACAGTTTAACTAGAACAACCAATAAACAAGTTGAAATATTAACAGATCCAGAAGAAATAAAACAAGAAGTTAAAAATGTATTTATTCATCAGATTACCTCCAAAAATATAGAAAGCCTAGATCAAAATCAAGTGTGGAAAAAAATTAATAATCAAAACAATGAAATTCAAGAGAAATGGTACCTACCATTAACAAAAAAAATTTGCAGCAGAAGAAATTGAAGGAATTATCAGAAAATTATCAAACAAAAAGACAGCAGGTCTATTTACAATTACCAATGAACTATAGAAACATATAGGTAACAATGTATAACAATTTCTCACAGATATATATAATCAGATTTTAAAAAACAAAGAAATACCAAAAGAATGGTCAGAAAGACATATATTTTCTATAGCTAAACCCAAAGATTGGGAGAAGAATATATGGAATATGGACAAATAATCCTACTAGAAACAGCTAGAAAAATATTTACAAAAGGAATTTATAATAGACTCAGTAAGATATTAACAAAACACACAATTCTAAATGAAAATAACTGGGCAGGCTTGCTTGAGGAATCAACACAATTGGCTATACATATATTGAACAATTGTATAGAGGAAGCTAAAGAATTTAAAAAAGAAATATGGATCTTATCACAGGACATATCAAAAACTTTTGATTCAGTAAATATAGAAAGTCTAAAAAAAAAGTATGAAATGAATAAAAATTCCAGAAGAAATCATAGTAATAATAGATAAACCTCTAAAAAAAGTCAGGCAGAAGGCTATTAGATGGAAAAAATACAATATGGTGATATGAGAACACTTGAAGAAAAGAGATTCAAATATAAGATAAATGCATTTGCATATATGGATGATACCACATACATATCTCAAGATAAAAAGCAAATGGAAAAGATATTAAAAACAGTAGAAGAATTCTCACAAATAACAGGTACACAAATCAATGCTGAGAAATCCCATCTTATTAGCATAAATAACACATCTAAAACAAAGAAGAAAGATAAAAAAAATTCATGGGAGAAGAAATAAATACAATAAACAAAAATGAACATGTGAGAATATTGGAAATTTGGATATTAGCAAATGGTAAAAAACAATATCAAAAAAATTAATAGAAGAGAAAGTGAAAAACATTTGTAGAATACTAACATGGAAAAGGGCTACAGACAAAAAAGTTAGATATATAATCAACCAGGTACTATGTCCAGCAATTGAATATTTATTAAATGATATAATTCTTTCAGAAACTTTATGCAACAGACTTAATTCAATGTGTTCAAAAGTTATAAAACACAAAGCTGGTTTTGCAATAACAGCTATAAATAGTTTATTCTTCTTAAATTAAGGCTACAAAGTATTTAACATTAACGATAGACAAATCCAAATGCATGGTAAAAATATCAATGACTACCTAAACAGAACAGATGTATTAGGAATTACAACTAATATAAGATTGCAACAATTTCAAAACTTCTTATAGATGAATCTTTTCTGGAAACAGAAAAGACAATCAAATCAAAGAAGGAAGTAACCTTATGGCATTAATAATTAATTTATGTAAGAGGAACAAAATTAAATGGCACAAACTAATGGGGGTGAATGTAATCTTAAGATTCCATCAGGTGGAAAAATATTAATAGAAATGGTACTGTAAAGTATTGGAAAAAAATATGAAACACATAGAAAAAGCTTAAGAGAAAAGAAAATTTTATACTTAGAACAAATTCTAGATCTTGAGCTT